AATGTGCTGTAAGACGTTGGTACCCAGGTTTATAATGTGTCTCTCCTCACTGGTTGAATGATGCCAATGGATGAATGGGCGATAGGAACTGATAATGGGGCACGTTACTTTACAATTATATTAGGATGAACTGAACGATGAGGAGGGTGAAGAGGGTGATTTTAATTTAGAACAATGGTGTGATGATGATGAAGACTTGTGGGTGTTGTGGGTGGTCTAATTATTTCATTATGAAAGGCTGGAAAGGGTATGTAATCTCCCCTCAGAGAGAATCAAATCAGACCCTGAGTACAACGTTCAACATCTGTAGTTACCAATGGCAAGCCCAACCAAACGAACGGACGCTGACAGCATTGCAGATGTTACCGAATTTAGATGAGCGGGAGTCTAATGGAGGATTGGATATTAAGCCCAACCAAACGAACGGACGCTGACAGCATTGCAGATGTTACAGAATTTAGATGAGCTGGAGTCGAATGGAGGATTGGATATTAAGCCTGACAAAGCGGGTAAAAAAAGAATTGTGGCCCCGCTCTTCACGGCTGAGATAGAAAACAAAAAAGTTAATTTCCTGCAATTCTACACCTTTTGCCATGTGGCGTATAGAAAATATTGCAGTTTTAAAGCAAGTATTCCGCAGTTCTACAGTGAGGGAAAAAAGTATTTGATCCCCTGCTGATTTTGTACGTTTGCCCACTGACAAAGACATGATCAGTCTATAATTTTAATGGTAGGTTTATTTGAACAGTGAGAGACAGAATAACAAAAAAAAAATCCAGAAAAACGCATGTCAAAAATATTATAAATTGATTTGCATTTTAATGAGGGAAATAAGTATTTGACCCCTCTGCAAAACATGACTTAGTACTTGGTGGCAAAACCCTTGTTGGCAATCACAGAGGTCAGACATTTCTTGTAGTTGGCCACTAGGTTTGCACACATCTCAGGAGGGATTTCGTCCCACTCCTCTTTGCAGATCTTCTCCAAGTCATTAAGGTTTCAAGCCTGACGTTTGGCAACTCAAACCTTCAGCTCCCTCCACAGATTTTCTATGGGATTAAGGTCTGGAGACTGGCTAGGCCACTCCAGGACCTTAATGTGCTTCTTCTTGAGCCACTCCTTTGTTGCCTTGGCAGTGTGTTTTGGGTCATTGTCATGCTGGAATACCCATCCACGACCTATTTTCAATGCCCTGGCTGAGGGAAGGAGGTTCTCACCCAAGATTTGACGGTACATGGCGCCGTCCATCGTCCCTTTGATGCGGTGAAGTTGTCCTGTCCCCTTAGCAGAAAAACACCCCCAAAGCATTATGTTTCCACCTCCCATGTTTGACGGTGGGGATGGTGTTCTTGGAGTCATAGACAGCATTCCTCCTCCTCCAAACACGGCAAGTTGAGTTGATGCCAAAGAGCTCGATTTTGGTTTCATCTGACCACAACACTTTCACCCAGTTCTCCTCTGAATCATTCAGATGTTCATTGGCAAACTTCAGACGGCCCTGTATATGTGCTTTCTTGAGCAGGTTGACCTTGCGGGCGCTACAGGATTTCAGTCCTTCACGGCGTAGTGTGTTACCAATTGTTTTCTTGGTTACTATGGTCCCAGCTGCCTTGAGATCATTGACAAGATCCTCCCGTGTAGTTCTGGGCTGATTCCTCACCGTTCTCATGATCATTGCAACTCCACGATGTGAGATCTTGCATGGAGCCCCAGGCCGAGGGAGATTGACAGTTATTTTGTGTTTCTTCCATTTGCGAATAATCGCACCAACTGTTGTCAACATTCTCACCAAGCTGCTTGGCGATGGTCTTGTAGCCCATTCCAGCCTTGTGTAGGTCTACAATCTTGTCCCTGACATCCTTAGAGAGCTCTTTGGTCTTGGCCATGGTGGAGAGTTTGGAATCTGATTGATTGATTGCTTCTGTGGACAGGTGTCTTTTATACAGGTAACAAGCTGATATTAGGAGCACTCCCTTTAAGAGTGTGCTCCTAATCTCAGCTCGTTACCTGTATAAAATACACCTGGGAGCCAGAAATCCTTTTGATTGAGAGGGGGTCAAATTCTTATTTCCCTCATTAAAATGCTAATCAATTTATAACATTTTTGAAATGCGTTTTTGTCTGGATTTTTTTGTTGTTATTCTGTCTCTCACTGTTCAAATAAACCTTCCATTAAAATTATAGACTGATCATTTCTTTGTCAGTGGGCAAACGTACAAAATCAGCAGGGGATCAAATACTTTTTTCCCTCACTGTACATATTTTGCATTGGGGTGGAGAGAAAATGTAGCAATTTTATAACCAATTTCATGCAATTCTACTCATTTTGCCATGGGGCAGAGAGACATTTTTGCAGTTTTAAAGCAAATGTCCTGCAATTTTACCCATTTTGACAAGATTTCTTGAGTTATCTTAATAAAATGGACAAAAAGTACTATTGCCGCTTTTTTTCACATTTTTCAAGTGAAGGTCTTTTAAGGTCTTTTAAAGGGAGTATACTAGAACACTCGTTGGGTTTGGCTGCAGAGTTCAGCGCCAGCCGAACTGAAGCATTATTCATGAGATTGATTCATGAGTTAAAACAAGGGTAAGGCCACAATACAGGGTCCCATACAATCAATAAATTACTATTGTTTTCAATCTTTTCATGGATATCTTTTCACCAATATTTATTTATGTATTTCCTTTACAATGTTTGCCCTTATTATCAGGCTTTTTCCCGTTTACAGCAAAAATATGACCGGACCGGGGGGGAAAACCCACGGGGATTTGGGGAAAAAAAAGCGGGTTTGGGGCGGGTAACAGACCAACAACACCAGAAAGACAGGAAAAAGGAGGAGGGGAAAGGGGGGGGGGGGGGAAACAAAAAATGACACAAAACAAAAAAAGGACCAAGAGACCTACGACACCCAAAGGGCACAAGAGGACCACGAAGACACACACAGGAACCAAAACCACGAGGGAGGGGGGCCCCACGACGAGAGACCCAAGATCCCCCGGGGACGAGACTACGCGGGGGACACGGAAAGAAGAACGAAGGCACGACGAAAAAGGCCACGAAAGAAACGCCCACGGGCGCCACGACAAAGAAGACCCAACCGACGAAAACAGACGACCCAGACGGAAAGAGACGACGGACGAGCCCCCCCCCCCCCCCCCCCCCCCCGACCCACGGGCGACGACGCCACGACGAGAGAAGGCCCCGAGAGACGAGAGACGACGGCCCCCGACCCACGAAAAGACGAACGACCCAACCAACGCCCCGGGGGGAAGACGACGCCAAACCCCCGCGAAGCGCCCCGACGCCCCCCCACAACGAAAGCAGACCACGACGAGACCCCCCGCAGACGCCACGACGAAGCGCCAGACGCCAACCCCTACGACCAACGACGCCACGACCACGACGCCACGAGAACAGACGACGCCACGAGGCCCCGACGCCAAGCGAAACCCACCGCCACGCACACCCACACCCCCACGGGACTACGCCCCAATTAAAGCCAAAACAGAACCCAGACCCAAGACGCCACTACGAGACTTTCCCCCGCTCACGGGAAAAGCCAAGACAAAGACCCCCGACCCCCACCGGGCGGGGAAAACGGCACGAGACACGAGAGACGGAAAAAGAGTCGAAGACGCCAGAGCCCGGGAAACAGCCACGACTCCAAAAACACCCACGGGAAAAAACCCCAAAACGCCACAAAAACAAGACGACGAGAACCCCCCCGCGCCAGCGAACACGCCATAGCCAGACCCAACAAGGGCGCCACGGGCGCCCCCACAGACCCGACGTCCCAAAAAGAGACGCCAAAGCCACACCCAAAGAAGACAACGAGAGAAAACGAGACGACCCAACGGACGAAGACGAAAAGAGCCACGAGCACGCCAACCCACACCCCCCCAAAAGACAAATCCACGGAGAGACGAGGGGACACCCCGACGAAAGACCCCACCCATCAACGAGCCACGCCCCACGAGAGCCGACCCCGACGCCCGACGGGGACACGCCAACCCACACCCACAAAAACGGGGCCCCACGCCACACAACGACCAAGAACGACCCCCAAAACCCCCACACGCCAAACAAACGGCGAACGAGCCCCGACGAACACGCCCAAAAGGGAGGGAGCGAGACGGACGAGGACGACCCCCCGCGCCCCGAGAGACGACGCCAGACGCCCCGACGGGACGCCCCCGACCCAGCAGAGCCAGCGGAAGACGCCAAAAGAGGAGACCAGGACGACGAGAGCCCCCGAAACGACGCCACACGGCACACGCCCCGGCCAGACGGGCACCCACGAGCCCACGCCCAAAAGACGCCACGACGGGGGGGAAAGAGACACGGAACGACGAGACGACAGGGGACGACGCACGACGCCACGACGCCACGGCGACGCGAGGACGACGACGCCACGACGAGACGACGCCAGACGAGAGACGGCCCCGACCAACGACGAGACGACGAAAGACGCCACGACTAGACGACGCCACACGCCACGACGAACGACGCCACACCAAGAGACGACCCAGACCAGCGAGGAGAAAGACGCCGACGCAACGCACACGAGACACGCCAGACCACGGAGGAGCACGAGCCAACAAAGCCACGACGGGAAAACGCCACGACGCCCCGACGAGCGACCACAAGCCACGAAAACGAGAACCCACGGGCGCCGACGCGACGGCACACGCCGTCACGACGCCACGCCGAAGAGCCAGAGCAGAAGACGACGCACGAAAGCGAACGAGCCCCGACGCCCACAGACACCAAGACGCAAGACGCCACGACGGAGCGACGACGGA